TAACGGTACATTGGATAAATCCCGAAACTTTAGAGAGAGAATCAGCTGCATTGGCTTGTCGTAGGATGAAAGGCAGACATACATACGATGTTTTAGCTCAGGCAATTAATTCCGTTTTTCTCGAATACCACATCCAAAATAAAGTATGTGGCACGACAACCGACAATGGATCAAATTTTGTTAAAGCCTTTCGGTAAATTTATATTTTAAATATATTTTACATACTTATAAAATTTGTTTACACTACGTATAATTAATAGAAATAAAACATAAATAATAGATATAGTTTAATTAATGTTTTTTACTCATTTCAGAAGTTTTCAAAAGGATGAAGATAATGTCGATAATGAAGAGACTACTGTAGAATTTCATAGCCTATATGATCTTTTAATTACGGATGATGTGGAAAATCTAGATGTAGAAAATTTTACTCTTCCACCACATAATAGATGTGCGAGTCACACATTGAATCTTGTTGCAGTAAAAGATTCTGAGAAAGCATTGGACAGTGATGTTGTATACAAGAAAATATATAGAACAACATTTGCCAAACTAATAAAGCTTTGGAATAAACAAAATCAGTCTACACAAGTGGCTGATAAAATAAAAGATGTTTGTGGTGTCTACTTAAAAACTCCTGTTGTTACTAGGTAAGATTTTTTTTATTACCAAAGATAGTAAATATAATAAACTAAGTTGGTTTTAGTACTGGTGATAAATCGTTACGTTCTATATAAATGTATCGACTGAACAGTAAACATCAACTGTTAGGTATTTATAGTCAAGTCTTATATTCAACACCGCCTCAAGAGTTATGAGCCAATTATAAAGTCGTATTAGCATCTCAATTCTCAAAACATTAGTTAAGGTCTTAAAATAAGAACTGACTATGAATATCAAGATCTTAGATTGAATAAATTTTATATTTACTATCTTCCGATATTAATCACATGGTCGAGATATTTATTTCTATTTTTTTGTGTTTTTATTAATCACTGATATAAATATCTTTTTTCTCTAAATAATAACAACAATTATCTAAATCTTTATCTCATTTTCTAAATTTTTATTTGATATTTGATATAGATGGAATTCTACTTTTGATTCAGTATTGCAACTGGTAACACTTCTAAAAGATGGTTCTGAAAAAATTAATCAGTGTCTGGATCATTGCAATTTACAAAGGCTCTCAGAGATCGAAATGAAATTCATGGAAGAATATTGTCAGGTATTAATACTGGTATTATACATCTAGATAATAGTTAAACATACAGATCACTGATCAGATAAGTGAGCGCTCAATAATTCTTTGTTTGAATGATTTATTCATCCAAATTTAACGAAAAGCTAACAAAAACTGATCATATTAAAGAATCACTGAGCGCTCATTGCTTTGCCTGTTGAATGCGCCCAATATCTAAATTTAGTGAAATGTATCTCACTTTTTTGCTTTGATTAGATTATGGAACCTTTGGCACGAGCATTGGATATATTACAAGGAGAATCAGGAATGTACATGGGATTTTTATTACCGGTCTTGAAAACTTTACAAGAAAAACTGGAAAAATTCAACAAAAGTGGAATTTTTACGCATTGCCAGCCATTAATTACAGCTATTCAACAAGGTTTAAATAAAAGGTGTTTTGTTAATTTTATTTTAAATACATGTTATTTTTAAATAACAGTTTTACTAGTTTAGTAAATGTCATTCTATATTTTTTTGTATATACTTCACTTTATTACTAAATTAATACTTATATTTTTTTCAACTATATCTATCTTATTTAAGTAAAGTAATATTTACTTATTTATTCTGAAATAAAAAATATAAAATATTATTTAATTTATATTTATGTATTTTTAGATTTTCGACATTATTCGAGAAAAAGGACTTAATCATCGCAAGTTGTTTGCATCCAAAATTCAAGTTGAACTGGATAAATGGAGAAAAAAGAAAACTTGCTAAAAATTATTTAGAAGAATTATTAGGCATAAAATCTCCTGATAATTCTCCAGTTAATGAAAAATCGAACGATCACGATGACTTTTTTGATTTTAATCAGCAAACCGACGAAGTCGAATCGTTACAAGAAGAATTGTACCGTTTTTTAAAATCCAACAATACCAATATTAATATGTTAAATGATTATATTAGAATAAAAAAATTTTTTATTGAATATAATACGGCACTTCCGAGTAGTGCATCCGTCGAACGAATGTTTAGCGTCGGTGGTTCCATAGTAACGCCACATAGAGGGAATCTTAATGATGATACAATAGAATATCAAATTCTCTTAAAAATTAATAAAAAATTTTGGATAAATTAAAGATTTTTTTGTTCTGATATTACTGATATATGCTTCTGATATATGTATTTAAACGCGCATTTTCTTTTTTTAAATAAAATTATATAATATGTAAATGTAAACCAGTCTTTTTTTTTATAATGATAATGTTGTTCTATTAAAAGTAACTGAAAAGTAACGATTCGTTACTTTTTGAGTAACTGTAACTGTAACATGTTACTTTTTGGAGTCGGTAACTTGTAACGGTAACTAGTTACTTTTTGAGAAACAAAAACTGTAACTGTAACTAGTTATTTTTACAAAGTAACTTTCCCAATCTTGGATATATCTATATTATATACTCAAAAAAAGGATTCTGTGAAATGTTACAAGCATCAATTTTTTTTCAGATATCCTAATTAGAAAATGTAATTCAAAATAGTTAATTTAAATTAAAGATACAATATATAAATTATTTTTTATAATTTATTATGTAAAAATATTAAGTGTATATTATAGAGGTATTAACATATAAATGCATTATTATTAATAATTTTAAACCAGAACAATATTTGTTTGTCAAAGTATCGTATTCAAAATTTACATTTTTTTAAGAGATTTTTGAAAAAAAACTCATTAATTTTATTATTTATTATTTTTGCAAAAAATTAGTACATTAATTTGGGCTAGTGATATGTATTAAAAGTTTCTGTTTTTGTAGCAGAAAAAATGGAAATCGCACAGACAAGAGCGGTTTACTGACAGATTTTTTTGACAGTTTCTTTTTGCATATCAATGACGAGTTTTTTTACCGGCAGGTAATACCACGCGAAAAACTACTTTTATGTAAAAGATTGTCCGCGATACTTACTGTTATGCGAAATTTCTATGTGTGCATAATAGATTATGTTATACTACTAAAACGAAATAAATTTAGAAATATCAAAAAACATGTATATAATATTATGAAATAGTTAATAGTATCATTAGTAAACGTTATATATAATGAAGAAAACTTCTATGTTTAACTTAGAATTATTACATAGAATAGAACAGTTAAATAAATACAAGTCCTTATCCGTTTCTCTATTTTCATCTCATGTCTGAAATCGTAACATAGAAAGTTCGTGGAGGATATAATTATAGTACATATAGCAGGATATAATTACAGTAGAATCTTTGATTTTATTGTATTTAGATATTTTTAATATTCGAATCAATATACACATACGTATTTAGAGAGGTCCTCTCTCTCTATGATATTCTCCTGAAACAAAATTATACTGATAATATATGTGGAAAATGTAATTTAGATTAATAGATATCCTGACTCGCTAGGGAAGAATTTTTACTGTCGAAAAGCACGCAGAGACTTTTGATCTTGTCTCACATAATAGAAACGGGATAGCTGGGTCCTCACTTTTTATTCGTCGCGCATCACAAACCATGTCGAGGAAGTCCTCGTCGCGTATTGCGGTCATCGCGATCACTGCGAAAAAATCTAAACAATAGCCCCGACGTTCTCCAGAGCGAAGAGGGTGGAAACAATGGTTGTATATACATATATATATGTATACGGTCATGGAACACTTCAGTATTGCGCCCCGCGGCGATAAGCCGCCATAATCGTCCGTGTCCGTTTGCACTATACAGTGTAACATATATGTATACATATATGCATATATACATACATACATACATACAGATACATATGTATTAACTGCATATATATATACAATATATGTAATGTATATACAATGTATATATATATATATATAT